GGGCAGCTGCCCCCAAGACGTTCACTGCGCGCTGCAGGCGTTCAGGTGCGGCTCGTCGAACCCGCGGTCTCATTCCCCGTGCCCCCCACAATCCTCCCCTCCTCCTGATCCGCGCCCTAGTTATTCTGCAGCCAGGACATTCGCTGTGCGCACCACGGGCGTAGATGCATGGCTCATCGACATCCCGCTCTCGTTCTGGTGCCCGGGACACTTCTGCGCGCCGGCTGCATCTACGCAGTTCGGGCTGTGCTACGTGCAGGCACGCTCTACGGTCCCAGGGGCCTCGAGAACTGCGGTATCGCCGACATGCACAGGTGTAGCGCACGCACTTGATGAGTTCAAGGAAAGTACACAGTCGACTCACTTTTGTATTCAGGGGATTTGCAGACGATCTCTTGGTTTTCAATCATAATTTATATCATTCTAGATCAACCACAAGTGTAAAAAGCGACTGTACTTGGTGTCTGCCCTTCAGGACGGCGAAGGGAACGGGTAAGTGTAGTGAATAACTGGAATCAAATGTAGCGCACCTGATTATTCCCAGAATCACAACAGATATGCTCCAACATCTTCTAATATATCTTGAGAGAAAAACCGTCGTATTTAGTGGCGAATACGAAGATTGGGGCCTCCGGGAAAGCTGGATGTAGTGCTGGCAACGAAGACACTAGCGAGCCGCAGGACGGGGGAACGAAGGGAGATTTGAGGTGAAATATACAATTTTCAGCTGTCTGGAAGGTACGCCTAGGTCCCCGGAGGGCTGGATGCGACGAAATGTGAGATGTAGCGAGAGTGCAAGGAAGAGCGTCGTCAAGATGTCATTTTGATCGAAATCAAACACATCACAATAGCCCGATCGGGCGATTGAAGAAACAGAGTTTTGTGTCCTGTAGGGTGGGTATTCCATTATTTTGCTAGTGGAATCCACATAAAATCTCATAACCTTGAATTGAGTTCATCCCTGTCCTTACAGTATTATTTTGGGGGGGTCAAGTTTTAGCAACAGCATCAAACCGTCCGTATTCCACCGTCTGAAGCTCATTTCTGGAGGTATTTTGATGTTTAAAATCACCATTTGACTAACGAAAGTTGAATACATCGAAAGGGTTGAGATTGAACTGCTCGAAAAGAAGATTTCCCGTTTCGGCAATGTAGCGAAACAAGTTTTACTTTACTGCAGCGCGAGTATCTCATTCCTTCCATAGCTGAACATATACCAAGTCCTAATCCACAAATCAAAGTTATCCCTCTGCTCAGAATATGATTCCAGGGGGGTCAACTTTTAGCAACAGGTATGAGACCGTCCGTATTACACCATCTGAAACTTATTTTTGGACATATTTCAATGTAAAACGAGTGTATTTGACCCACCGAGCTCGAATATAGCAAAAATTTCATCATTCAAGCACTCCTCCTTCCGAGTCCGCATATTGACTCTTTCAGAATGTTGAATGGTTTATCCAGAGCTAGACGAGTCTTATGCCTAACTATCGTACTGTATGATCTTCGTTGACTACGTAGAAGGTCTTCTACCTATAAACTAGATTCATACACGACCTCGGAAGGTATGTTTGTGGGGGGTCAAAATTTGGCAATATGCATTAAAACCGCCCATATTGGACCATCCAAAGATCATTGTGCGAGTATTTCACCGTACAACATGATGGTTTGACTGGCGGAACTCAAATATCTAAAAAGCTTTCAGATTGAAAACATTTTTTTTCGGAGTGCAGGTTTTGGCCAATTCAGAACATCGCAGTAGCTGGCATAACGAGTCTTGGTCCACTTTCCCAAATACCTGTGGAAATCTTCGGAAGAAAGTTATCTTTAGAGTCGATGTATATCCGCAGGTGATCTTTAATTACACCTTGGACAGATATATAACGAAAAATACCGGAGAATGCGACTAAGAATAACATACGACCGATACTAGGATGTAAAGGTTCATTAGATTGCAGCAAGCTTCATTGTGTAGTTTCACCTCAATCAGTATTTTTTTAGCTTTTTGAGGACCATTACCCCTCGTATTAGCCTAAATCCCCGACCTGTGAAGAGTGAGATATCGAGAGACAGGGTAAAGGAGAGAAGGGTGTTGGGAGTGGTGCAGTACTACTAACAGTCAAAGTTCTACTTTCAAAAGATGATAAGAATAAGGAAACCTATGCCGCAGGCCAGTGGGGCGTTGGTGGATAAGCCACTAACAATATCAGACCTGGTGTGCCAGCAGGACGAGTAGATCGTATCGAGGCGGAAATTAAGCGCTCGTTGGCGCTTAATCCGCTAATTTGAAAAGGGCCAGTGTATCCACCAAAATGGTGAACTGGAGATCGGAGAAGTTGATAGAGAAGATAAGATTGAATTTTCCAGCTATCAAATGGCATTGAAGGTCAGACGAGGTACCGATTACAGGAAGGGCGGGAAAAACAGGCATGTGTATAGATTCCATCGATACGGGGTAAGTGGGGTATATATAGTAACAGGCTAGAAAGGAAAGACGACCAATAGATTGCCCCAAGTGGCTGCGGACATCCCCGTTGGCACTGGGGTGCGCAAGAGTGGCGCAGAGGGCAGGATGAGTACCAACAGTAAAACGGCCGCTGCGCAATAAGTAGAGGGTGTACGGGTACGATTTTGTGCTCCAATGATAACGAAGAATGACATCAAGCTCGCGCCGATATCCCGCCCTCATTGGAGTGGGCAAGAGTGTCGTAAATGCCGGTGGGAGCAAAGCATCAAAAGGTCTGGCGCGCAGTGAGCGGAGGGTTTACCAACACGATTTCGGGCTTAAAATATAGGTGGGGGGGGACCAGAGTTCGCGCTGATATCCCGCCTGTGTTCGGAGGCGTAACCGCGGCGCAAACGGCGGGCGAGGGCGGGGTCAAAATACCGCCCGAGCGCTGTGAGCATACGACCTGCGGACTAAATTTGAGCTTCAGTGATAGAGGCGGATGAGTCCGACGGCGTGCTCACCCCCCGCCGGTACTGGAGTGTACGGGCGCGGCGCAAAAGGCGGGCGAGGTGTGGGCATCAAAACCGGCGGCGCGCGGTGAGCAGATGGCTGATGGACGTGATTTGAAGCCTAGACGAAAGGGAAACAGAGGACGGAGAGCACGTAAACAGGCCGCCAGTACTGGGGGGCCCAGGAGGGGCGGAAGCGGCAGGGAGAGGCAGAGCACCAAAAATGCTCGCGTGCAGTGGTTTGATCGCGGAGAAAGATGCTTTTGTGCTTCAAGGAGACGGAAAGATAGCACCGAGCATGGACGGACACCCCGCCGATACTGAGGGCAGAAGAACGGGCAGAAATGACGGGAGAACCGGGGGCACTAAAACGGCGGGCGCACAGTGAGTGGATGGCCAATGGACACAGTTTCAAGCGCCAGTGGGAGGGAGACATTTTCCTTGGCGTATGCTGACATACCGCCTATGCCGAGGCACCCAGGAGCAGCACAAACGCCGGGGGAGGCGGGGTGCCAAAATCGCCGGTGCGGGGTGAGAAGGGAGTGTACAGTCATATTTTTGAGCTAGCGAGAGAGATAAATACGTAACGAAGCTATCCTAGGTGTCCTGCCGGTGCTGCAGCCTGCAGGAGCGGCCCAAATGGCGGAGCTGCAGGAATGTATGAAACCGCTATTACGGCCCGCGCAGACGGCCAGGGCACACACGAAGGAACAAGAAGCATAGAGTATGGATAAGGATGTCCAGACACGAATATGGAGTGGAGAGGAGAGGCACGGCAGCAGGGACGAGCGCAGGATGCGGGAGGCTTGAAGAGGCCGAATGAAAACATGCGTAAATAAGCCGCCGTCACCTGAGGAGCACTGCCACCCGACGGCTACAGTGCATGTCATCACATCACGGTTCCGCTTTTGGCAGTAAACAAGTCAAAACTTTGAAGGCGCTATAACATTATGCCCTCATCCTGGGTTGGTCTGTAAACACCTGGAAACACTTAAAGTAACAGTAAAGAACCCAGCTTGTGCTTGGTTAGTCGCTCAATAAAGATTTGACTTTTTCACCCTCAGAAAAGTGAAACAAACCCTAATGATGGCATCAGATTCCCATATCGGGTAGGGTTAGCGGTCACGTGGACTTCGGAGATGGCCGAGCGCCTGACCAGGGTTCGCTCACAGGGACTCAAGGGCATCTCCGAATGCAAGGATGAACACATCTAGGACACTTCTGGATGTGTTGAACTTGATCATGGCCAGGAAACCCACCAGGAGACAATTTTATTTTTTCGGACCTCGAAAAAAGTGAAACACCGTGGGAAAAAATGAGTTTTTGTGCTCAATCGCATTCTTTTGGCCGCTTTCGTGGCTCAGAAAATCAGGAAAATTTTACAAAAATTTCTTTGATTGTGAAAAACACGTGCAGAGAAGTGGTGACTTGCACTGTACCCTCGGCTACCACGCCAGCGGGCGCCGCAGAACGCAGATCCAGAACAATTATTGGCTGATCCAGAACAATTGAACCCAATGTAGATAAGCCTCTGCGCTGATATATCATGCAGATCTCTGAGCCACAGGCCCTGATACATCATTGCACGTCTCTAATCAGAGACTGGTGATATATCATTATACCACTATGCGCTGGTTCGTTCGAGTCGAGCCTCGGGCATAAGACCTCTGAGTTTTTCCTTCGGGCAGTGAGTTCAAATTTCCCCCAATCCGAGTCGACGAGAAGTTTGTTTTATTTTCCCTCGAGTCAGGTGCATCGTCGTGCAGATTCAAATTCCCATGGCAAACTCAATGCAAAGTCCCCTTTCATTCTGTGGTGAGCCGCCAAAATTGCGATTCCTATCACACGGTTACTGGGGAGTGCCAATATGGAGCATGCTCGTTCGATTCCATATATATTTTTTCATTCTTTTAGCACCATTTTTGTCCTGAGCTGGGAAGCGGAATCCTAAGCCCGCAGACGCTAGCGGGAATGCTGCATACACAATCAATGAAAGCAACGAACACCCTTGCTCCTAGCGAGGGCCACAAGTATACCAAGGAGGCCCAGTAGCGGATGGTCCGCACCTGCATCTCTTGACTGGATCGCACAGTGCATGCAGGAGCCGCTCGTTCGAATCGAGCCTGGGTCATGTTTTAGGAGCCATACCTTTTCCCCTCGGTGAGTTCGTCATCCATCCGATTCGACCATGATTCTGTTTTATTTTCCTGGCAGTGGAGCGTGACGTGCATCATCGTATAATTCTCGTGAGATAGGTCGGTGTCGCTTTATTTGAGCGGTAGTGTTCGATTCTTTGCCATCTCCGTACCCTGGTTTCTTCGCAGAACTGTTTCCCATATACTAATAGTGGAGGAGGGACTCGACTTGTCGTCTCCAAGTCTTCCAGATGCGTCATATTTCGAAACGTGCAGCAACATAGTACTGTGATGCTCGCTTTCCAGTTGAGGTCCACGGTGTACGATTTCTTCTTCTTTCATAGTAGATGCATGCGGAAATTCAGGCAAACCTGAGCGGTCTGGTGGAAGTTTGCTCGATACGGTAAGTCCAGTGGTTCAATATGCGGAAAACAGATCTGCGCTAGGAGATGCCGGCAAGCCTCGGCATTTTTCAAGCTCCGCTCACTGTAACGGTCACGCGTTTTCTCCTTCTGTTTTGCACCCACGACATGTTTTCGCTCCGCGCCTTATCGACCCGTGTATCATTCTCCCTCTCGCTCTCGTCTGTCCGGGCTCCCAGAAGCGTCGCAGCACTGCGCTCCCTGAGCTCCACCGCATCTCGCTCGGCGGCGTTCGCAGCCTGGTGCGTTTTCAGCGGTTTTCGGTCTTTTCACTCATTTACATCCTTCCACCCTCTTTCTAGCTTCAACTGTGCGTTTCCTCCCCCCATACTCCCTTTTTTCCCGCTGACGCTGCACAGGCGGCGAGCCGGACCACCAGGTCGCTGCGTGCCCGAAGCCCCCAACGTGCCACCGCTGCGGCGAGGAGGGCCACCTCAGCAAGTGGTGCACGAACTCCGACACGGGCCGCGCGCGCCCCAAGGCCTGGTTCGCCCATTCCTTCATCTAGCTTCCGTTCCGTGTTGATGTCGTTTCGTTTGGCGCAGCTACAATTGCCGCGGGACGGACCATTTATCGAAGGAGTGCACGGAGTCACGCGACCGCAAGGCTGCGCGCCCTCAGGACAACTCGCGCAAACAAGGTCCGCCGCGGCCGTCCGGGGGTTTTGGGCTGCGCTGATTCCGGGGGGAGGTGCGTCCATTTTCTTTTGGCCTTAGCGCGTCTTCCGGGAACTGAGTGCTCAAGGCAGTATCACAGGACGCTGTATCTAAAAATTATAATCTCTCGATTCGTGGAGATCGTTGCGCCACGCTCTCGTACTTTCACTCCCATGACGGTTAATGCAAATGTACGCTTCCAGCCAGACGATGGCATTTTTTCGATCCCGGTTTTCTTGTTTCTCGAATATCAACGAAGTTACGCGCGGAAATGCCAGGTTTGCCCATCTTTTCACCCGGCCCAGCCGTCCATGTCCCTCGAAGCCTGCGGGCAAGTCGTCTTCCGACTCGATGTTATTGGATCGACTTTGCGGTAACGAATTCCAGGCGTCGGGTATCGATTCGGATGACTTGACGGCGATGCAACTGAGCGTGGTCAACGAAGGCACGAAACGAATTTGCAGCAGACTAGGGCACGCCGAACCAAGGCAAACAAGATCTTTTCAGTACGAAAGGCTCGAACTTCGCGACATCACCCGCATTGGGTCCTCATGTGTTGCTGACGTGTTTCTTTCCCTTTGTCGTTTGGACGTCGGACCTTCGACACAACGGCGATGTCGATCTGCGAGAACTGCGGCCACCAGAACTCGGAGAACCTGCGTCTTTCCCGCTCACGCTCATCGAGAGCTCATGACCAACAGATTCTCTCTCCCGCAGGACAGCGCAACGCCCTTGCCAAAATCCAATCGAAAATCGCACGATACAAAGCATACCTCGAGGGGCTGGAGCAGGAGGAGAGCGCTCTGGAGGCGAGCTTCGCGCTCTTGGTCTACCCGGTACTCACGCTCCCGGCCGAGATCACGTCCCAAATCTTTGTCAATTGCCTCCCGACGCACGGACGCGTAATTCCATCGCCTTTCACCGCTCCTCTCGTCCTCGCGCAGATCTGTCGCCATTGACGGGACGTAGCTACTTGAGTCGGATCGCAGGGCGACGGTCGGTTCAGACCTCGTTGGTTGTAAGTGATCTACTCCAAAGCTAAATCATAAACCGCGTCAAAATATCTGATATCCAAGCTGCTGAAAAACGACCCCGGCTCGAAATTCCGTCGGGACTGGACGCGATTCAGATCACCGACGCATGCCAACTACTTTGCTTCATGTGTTTGGGTAGGTAATGGGCGACGGTGAGCGAAATTCATCGTTCGTTGAGATTTCCTGCCAGACGGCAAGTCGGTAGAACCGACGTTCTTTATTATGTGGGCTCCCTGACCATGCGGAGTTTCCCTCATATTATCCGACCGACGCTTGGTTGCTTGCCTCGAAGACGGGCTGTTAACACTCTTCGCGAGGGTTATGTGTTTCCATGATGTACTGCGCCTAACCCATATAAATTCTCTATTGCTAGTGTTTCACGCCCGCAGTGTTTGTGTCTCCTAAATTTCAAGCCGGAATTCGAATCCCCTACTCCAGCGAGGTTTTCTCTTTAATGGTTCTTCTCGTCCGGGGCCTGCAAGGCTCAGGACTCTGCGCGGGAGTTACCTTGTTGGTCAAGGTCCTTAAATCCACCTTCATCATCATTAAACATTGGGACCCGATCTTCCTAAATTCCCTCAATGTCTTTCAATCACCTCTATTCAGCTCCGTGGAGTGCGAAAGTCCTTAGTCTCCCTCTTTATAAAATTACGCCTGTCCGTCCGAAGCCATTTCAAACTCCACTAATCTAATCGATCATCTCCTTAGGGCAGGTCCCGGGAACTGACGAAGCGGGAAAAGCCTTCCCGGCAAGATCGGCTGGAACGATGCCCCAGCGCGCTCATGTCTCTTATCAACAGACGCTACAAACTTGATGCTCGTACCTCGCATGCTTGTAGAAAGTTCTTCTGAGCCAAGGAAATGCAGATTTTTAACGAATCCTCTGGCCTACGCATCAAGTCTCATAGCCAAATGAAGAATTATTAGGCCATATCCTTAGGGCCCGATGGAGGGAAAATAAATATTATAATAAATGTTCAACAGGCCCCAGGGGTATGCTTCCCATTGACCAGATACTGCCATTGCAACTGTCGTGCAGTGGTATGGTGTGATATTTACTATATCTTAGCCTTGCATCAAAAGTTTCGCATCGCCAAAAATCATCTCACAGTGTCAAGCTTTTCGGAAACAGCTGTAAATACATCTGAATCCTAGAGCCTTAGCATGTCCCCACAATTTTTTTCTGACCTGCGGCACTCAGAACATGTTCTGATCTCATGTAACAAGACAAGAATGTCGCCGTTCGATGAGGGGCCCCAGAGTTCCATAAGGCTCTGGAGAACAATTTTCAATCCGTATTCTGGAGCCTTGCCATTTTGCGGCCCTTGCTAATGATCAGCGGTGGGCATAGTAAATAAGAGACCCGGTGTATTCAGCACCGAATCTAGCCGCAACTGAAGTCATCTCAAGTCTGAGTACGTGGATGGGAGTAGAAGCCAGGGCTCGCTGCCGAGAACGAACCCCTACCGTAGCACGAAGCCCACAGCTCCGGAGCGGAGAATGCCTGTGATAAGCCAGCCGTCATAGCAAGTTAGACACCCCCCAACTATACTTTGGCTTTATCACAGCATTCACCACTAAGTTAGTAGTAAATTAAGCAAATAAAATAGAAATAGGTATACCTGAGGGGATGGTGGGTGGGTCAAAAAACTCCAGAACAACGCGCACGTCCCGTCGTGCGGGCTGCGATCTTGAAGTCGTCAGAGTCGTCGGGACTGAAAAGATCACACTGCCTCTTGCCGAGTCAGATGATCTCGGCAAATTTACGGCAATTTCCCGCTTCAGTTTTAGCGAGGCTTAACGAGAGCTTTGTAGTGTAGCTCGTGCCTCACAACACTTGAGCTCACGTAGCCAAATTTTTGGGGGGCCTGTGGCAGCCCAGAACACCCATGACCAATCAAACACTCAATTCTCCACTATTCAGTCTTTTCAGTCTTTTTACCGGGCCGGAAAAATTGAGTCCTTAGATGATATCGTTATGAATAAATTGGTAAGAGGAGTATTTGCTGCCAGCAAAATCTAAGTTGAAAGGGTGTTTGTGTTTGAATGACTGGCAGGAGCAATTCCGATTCAATAGCAATTCTTGTTTTGAGAGCCAAATGCATGCCACTTGTAGCTCATGTTCTGGGCAATTTTCAAGCAATACCACCTCGATACTTCAGCAAAACTCATGCCCAAAAGGTCCAAGGCCAAATTTTTTAAATACAAGTTTCAGCGTTTATTCGGAGAGGCGGTGCTTTCTTATTGGGGAAATGGCACGTAATGCTCGCGTGGTCTATTACATAATTCAGTATCAATATCGACATAATCGAGCACAGGCACGAGTATTGCGCCATCCTCCTCCTTAGCAACTGCCTGAGATTGCGCAAAATTGGATACCAGATCCTGTATTTGGAGAAATTGAGAAATCGGCTGGGGTACTTCTATTCTTTATCATATTTTGTATCTATTGGATGACTCAGGTTTTCCTCAAAGTAATGCAACAGTAATGTGTTAAAAAACTGTAGCATTTGCGAACCACCGTCGACTCCTGTCAACCAAACACGAACAAAGATGCCGGCATGCCGCTGACGCCAATCCCATTGACGAGTCCAGTTCCTTGCACACAACGGCCATGTCGATCTGCGAGAACTGTGGTCACCAGAACTCGGAGAACCTGCGTCTTTCCCCGTCAGGATTTTTTACAGTCCAGAATCTCCCCCCCGCAGAACAGCGCACCGCCCTTGCCAAAATCCAATCGGAAATCGCACGATACAAAACATACCTCGAGCGGCTAGAGGAGGAGCAGAGCACTCTGGAGGCGAGCCTCGCGCTCTTAGTCTACCCTGTGCTCACGCTCCCGACCGAGATAACGTCCCGGATCTTCGTCGATTGCCTCCCGACA